TCGATCAGGACGCAGTCGAAGACGACCCCCTCCACGTTCCTCTTCGACTGCCCGAGCTGCAGCAAGAACTTGAGCATCAGCACCTGCATCGTCTTCTGCTGGCCCTTGAAGCCGAGGTCGGCCTTCTTTTCGCCCTCTCCGCGCTGTCGGACACGTCGGGATCCCCCGCCCTTGCCGCCCTCGCTTGCCGCCGCCGCCGCGCCGCCGCCAGGAGGCCCGAACATCACAGTCTGGTCTGGGTCGGTGGCCCCCACGCGGCCGGCTGTCGGCCGGCGTCGGCGAACGATGAGGTGTCTGAGAAGAAACTGCCACGGGCGAAGGGTGAGGAAGGTGTTGCTGTACGGCATGTGTGTTGTATTCGTCCATGGTTTCGAAGGTTTCGTCGCAATAGGTGCACTTGATGGTGTTGGGGCAACTCAGGGGCCACGGGAAACGAGACCGACCGAGGCAACATTTGAGGCTCTCCCAAGACGATCGAACGCGATGGCGGGCACTATCACGCGTCGAAAACGTCGAACGGCACCAAGGGCACTGATTGCAGATCACGCACGTGAACAGCGGGTTTCGTTTTCCATGTTCACCACCCCGAGATTGAAACATATGAGCAGCAAGGGCCCCGTGGGTCCCGAGGGTCTGGCAACAGAGGGCCCCGCTATCGTCGCAAAGCGCACACACGAATGCCGCATGTTCTTCTTCCGCCCGGGGCGCCACAGTGCGAGCAGGTCCTCGCAGAAAAAAAAATCTCGCCCTCGGTCAAGATCGCTGCCTTAAGGATCGACGGGTCGATGCGAAGCCAAGCATCTCGCACCTCGTCGTCATCAAACAGTGCGATGTACGAGTAGCCGTGCTCACTCCATCGCTCGAAAAAATCCTCGGTGCCGCTGGTGCCAGCGTACAGCCACAAGTCAATTTCTACTTGGTGCGCCAGAGGTGGGGCATCTCGTGTGAGGCGTCCTTGTGGGTCCAAAGCGGGAGGTCCATCATTGAGGGTTCCCCAGAGAGCAGCAATAACCTGGGCGTGGGCCCTGGGGTCTCGGGCCATCTTCTGGGTCCAGGCAAAGCGTCTTGAGGCTTGCGCGCACCTAGTAGGAACCACCTTCCATCTACGTCGAAATACTGCGTGAGGGAGGCTCTGAGGATGGCTGCCACCCCAGTCAGTAGCCTTGCCCCTCTCCAAAGCTCTTAAGCACTTGGCTACGATAGTGTCCATCTGGTTGGTCATTTTTCCGAGAAAACGTAGGCCTCGTTTGCCGATACACCAGCTTCAATAACGTGTCCCTGGAACGCCAGAAGTTTCAGCTTGCTCGATATACGGCTTCCCCACAGACTTCCTATTTTTGCCCAACCCACTCTCATAGCTGAACACCTAAACTGCAGCTCCTCCATCGTCGCTAAGTTCCAAGCGTATCTGCCTCCAAGATACCGTGGCCGAGGTAAGACCTTCCCCTCCTGAGTGAGTTCCTTAAACCTCTTAGTCTCCTGGGACCGATGAAAGCTGGGTACGATTTCGCGTTTCCCCTTATTCTGGAGAAGGCCTACCAGATGCAACTCCTCGTCCAGGGTCGCATCACTCTGTTGCGTGAGAAGATGGGCCTCACCAGCCTCGCCACTGCGTACGAGGATCTTATCAAAGATATCATCAGCGAAGACACTCGTGCCGCCGTCGATCTGGCGGGGAAATATACCGCACTGCAAGGTGATGGCCAGCTCCGCTGGTCGTGTCGAGCGCCAGGCGTGAAAAGGTCGCTGCATAATCTTAGCAAAGAGAACGGGTTCCTCGCTAGATCCCATCAACCCTCCACATCCGCGCCATGGTAAGGGATGGGAGGGAAAAGTCGGACGTCAGATATGACGCGAGCGCACCTAGCTTGCCTCCTCCCCCTCCTACTCCTCCTCCTCCTCCTACTCCTCCTCCTCCTCCCTCCCTCCCTCCACATCCCCGCGATTTGCGGGGGGGGGGGAGGGAGGGGGAGGCTACTTACAAGGAGGCTGCGTCTTGGGGGCGCTGGCCCTGCATGTGTATATGTTAATACACACACATGCACGTATGTAAGTATGTGTATATATATATATATATATATATATATATATATATATATGTGTGTGTGTGCGTACGAGACTGCACTGGCGCTTCGCACCAGGCACCTTGCCCCTTGAAGTTTGGTACGCAGGCGGCATGGCAAGAAAGTCAAACAGGCAATTTAGCGAAAACTCCTTGCTTTATTTTCCGACATCGCCGCTATAATCATGCTATTCGGCATCCTTCCTTCATATTTCATTTTCCTCATTATCGCCCTACCCTGCGAATTCCCCCCCATCCTCCTCAGCTCTTTTTGCGGAGGCTCCTCCTTGGAGAGCCTCTGGGGGCCTCACGGAAGTTCCTCAGCTTTTCTGAAGGCCTTCTGGAGGCCTCCTGGGTGTCTTCTGGGGGCCTCTGGGGGCTTCCTCGGGCCACCCTGCCTCCAACCGCGGTCTCCCTGAACGACCGGGCCACGATTTGGAATGCTTCGGAGGGTGTCTTGGGGCCATCTTGGGCCGTTATGGGGCTCATAGGCCATCTTGGAACCCTGTTGTGCCGTCTTCGGGCTCTCTTGGACTGCCTGGAAGCCCTTTCAAATGGTTTTGTTACGATTCTCGAGCCTCCCAGGCGGTCTCGGACGCCCAGAAGACCAAAGTACAGGGCATTCCAAAAATCATGCAAAAAACTTGGAAACTCAATGTTGACTGCGTTTGGGAAGCCTCTTGGAAGTCTTCTTTGGAACGTCTTCGGGCGTCTGGTGGGTGTCTGGGGCCTCTTGGGGCCCTCGGGTAGGCGTTCGGCCGCCCCCCCGACCGATCTGGGCCCGTCGCCTAGGCCCAGCAAGTGCTTCCAGGAGCACTGAAACGCCAGGGGGGGCCTCCTGCAGGGCCAGGGATCCAGGGGTCCAGAGCGTCCCGGGGGCCCGGGATTCGGGGGGCTCGACCTCGGGGGGGGGAAGAGGGGCTCCCGGGCAATAGAAATATAGAAACGGGAATGTGTGTATATTTACATTCCATCTCGGATGATTTTTGGCCTCCCAGCTCTCCTGATCGTCTTTCCTATTCTCTCTGACTGCCGTTATCCTTCTCCTTTTCATCGTCCCTTGCGCTGCCACTCCCTCCACTTTTTCCTCCTCCTCCTCCTCCTCCTCCTCCTCCTCCTCCTCCTCCGCCTCCTCCTCCTCCTCCTCCTCCTCCTCCTCGTGCTCCTCTTCCTCAATGGAACCCTGCGTTTTCATTTTGAATTGTTGTGACTGTTTGGGCGCACCGCAACTGCGCGCTCTACGTCGGCCAGGCGGTCGCCGCCACCAGCGGGCGGGCTAGACCGACGGCAAAATCTTAAAAAGATCTGCCTGGTTTACCTTTAGACGCAGAAATATCAGCACACATTGTACTGTGTCTTTCCGATTCAGAAACACCAGGAGAGAGAGAGAGAGAGAGGAAAAAAAAACTCGTAGGTTTAATGACGTTAAAACAAAAGCATGTGTTCGAGATGTTGACCCAGAAACACAAAGAACACGTGCTCTTGCTTGCCAACACAAGCCAACATTTCATAACAAAGAACACGAGTAGTTTCCAGTTGTATGGCGGACAGACCAATCACACAATGTTGTGCTTGAGATGCCGGCCGCATCTCATATATATAAGCATTTACATTCATACACGTACACATACATACATGCACGCATGCGTACATGCATCGATGTAGGTATGCATGCATACAGAGAAACATACACACATACAGACATACCTATACATATGTATACAAGATTTTAAGGCTCGCTGCGCTTCGCCTTCTAATCTTGATCCTTGCACCTACGATGTTTCTGGGCGCGGGCGAGAACACATTTTTTCAATGAGGTGTGTGGGAATTGTGCGAGCGGAGGCGAGGCGAGGCGAGTGCGCGGTAGCGCCCGGGGCGGGGCTCAGGGCGCAGCGTTGGTGGACGCTTGAGTGGAGGTGAAGGTGGAAAGTCGGATGCCGGACGCTAGAGGTCGGAGTGCTGAGCTGATGGAGGCTGGAAGTCTATAGGTGGAAGTCCCACCAGCCCTTTAGAGCTACGGTGGTATAACGAGTTTGGTTTTCTCTCTTCCCCTTCCTTCCCCTGCTCGGGGGAGGGGTAACCTTCCCCTGGACCTGGAGGGGGGGGATCGAGGCGCTAGAGCGTCCAAGATGGCTCAAGATGGCTCCAAGAGGCGCTCCAAGTCGCAAGATGGCCTCCAAGATGGCCCAAGATACCTCAAGATGGGTCAGCATAGCCTCCGACACACCTCCAAGAGTCCTCAAGACGGATCCAAGTGCCCTTCGAGCCCTCCACGGCGCCCTCCAAGAAGCCAGAATGCTTCAAAAACCAAAGGAAAGTCAATGTGTTTGGCATTATCGTCTTTTCGTTTCCGATGGGCCCCTGAAGCATCAAGATGGCCCCAAGATGGCCCAAGAGAGCCCCAAGAGGGGCCCAAGAAGGCCCAAGACGGCCCCAGACGGCCCCAAGATCGCCCAAGAGGCTTCCAAAGAGCGCTCCAACACGTCCCCAAGACGCCGTCTGAGAGCCTCCGATGAGGGGGGACCTGAATTGAGGACCCCCGCTTTTTTTGAACAGTGGGGCCCAAGACGGCCGCGAGAGGCCTCCCAGCCTCTCCTGAAGATTCTCCACCCCGCCCTTTTTGGCCCAACATGGCTCCAAGAGAGCCCTAGATAGCCCCAGATGGCCTCCGAAATGGCCCAAGATAGCCAAGCATGGCTCAATATAGCCTCCGACAGATCTCCAAGAGGCCTCAAGACAGCCTGAATATGGCCCGACAAAGCCGAACATGGCTCAGAATAGCTTCCGACAGCCTCTAGCCGAGCATGGCTCAGGATAGCCTCCAACAGGCCTCGGGCAAGCTGGCAATCAATTATGGACGGGCTGGTGTGGATACTTTTTTGGTCGGCGGCTCCGAGGCGGCGGACAAGGAGCGGAAGGCGTCGTCTGGGCCAGCAGG